GGATGTCAGGTGCCCAATGCTTCCTCTCTCCCCTCCGCCAGGTTCTTGGCCAACACGTCGTTCCACGGGCGGACGGGGCGGGTGTCTGTGCGGAATACGTCGCTGGTGCACACCGAGCACCGCTACAGGATCTGGAGCCTGCTGCGTGACTCCCTGGGGGAGCCCACCTGGGTGACGGTGGGCAGCTGGCAGGACGGCAAGCTGGAGGTGGAGGAAGGGTTCTGGCAAACCCAACTGCAGCGCAAGAGCCCGGGCGGCGGGGGCGGCTTCTCACGGGTGAAGCTGCGGGTGGTGACGCTGGTGGAGCACCCGTTTGTCTTCACGCGGGAGGTGGACGAGGACGGGAGCTGCCCGGCCGGGCTGCTGTGCCTGGACCCCCACACCAATGACTCGGCCGCGCTGGAGGCCCTCTTCGAGGCGCTCAATGCTGAGAACGGCTCAGTGCCCCTGGAGTACAAGAAGTGCTGCTACGGCTACTGCATCGACCTGCTGGAGAAGCTGGCTGAGGACCTGCCTTTCGATTTCGTCCTCTACATCGTCGGGGACGGCAAGTACGGGGCCTGGAAAAACGGGCAGTGGACGGGGCTGGTGGGGGACCTGCTCAGCGGCACGGCCCACATGGCCGTCACCTCCTTCAGCATCAACTCGGCCAGGAGCAAGGTCATCGACTTCACCAGCCCCTTCTTCTCCACCAGCCTGGGCATCCTAGTGAGGACCAAGGACACAGCCTCGTCCATCGGCGCCTTCATGTGGCCCCTGCACTGGACCATGTGGGTGGGGATCTTTGTGGCCCTGCACCTGACGGCGCTCTTCCTGACCCTCTACGAGTGGAAGAGCCCCTACGGCATGACCCCGCACGGGCGCAACCGCATGAAGATCTTCTCCTACTCCTCGGCCCTCAACCTCTGCTACGCCATCCTCTTCGGGCGCACCGTCTCCAGCAAGACGCCTAAGTGCTACACCGGCCGCTTCCTCATGAACCTCTGGGCCATCTTCTGCCTCTTGGTGCTCTCCAGCTACACGGCCAACCTGGCCGCCGTCATGGTGGGGGAGAAGACCTTCGAGGAGCTCTCGGGGATCCACGACCCCAAGGTGGGAGGGCCGTTGCGCTGCCTCGGAGGCGGGAGGGATCCGAGGCGTCGGGGGAAGTTGCCGTTTTCCCTCCCCTCCCCACGCTGGTCTCCTCTGCATCCCGGTTTCCTTTGGATGGTGCCCACTGCAGCAGCCCAGCGCCCCTTAGCACCATGCCGGGGCCTTGGGGTCAGGCCCGACTCCAAGGGGAGAGCGCCCCCTACCAGTCACTTTGCCGACTCCAGCCGAAGAGCGGTGTTAGCGCCAGGCCTTTTGAAACTCGTCCACGCCGTTCCCAACCCGTCGTTATGTCGGGCTGTCGCCTGGAGCTTTGCCCGTCGAGCCACCCGCCGCACCCCGTTTTCCCGGCTGGCTCCCGGCTGCTGCTGGTTCTGGGAGCGACAGGGGGTGTAAAATCCAGTGGATGGTTCAGTAGGGGGCGCTCTTCCCTCAGAGCCATCGCTGAGCCATTGGCCCTGCAGGGCTGGTGCTGGCTTTTGAATGAGATTTAAATCCAAGGTCCTGTCTGCTTGCAACCTCAAAACCCCAGGGTCCTTTTTCTATGAGTTGGGGGGGGGGGGGTTCACCCCGAATCCTGGCCAGATTCCAGTTGGGATAATTCTGCCTCCCCTGCAGTTCAAGCTAGATGCAGCATGCTTCCTCCCCTCCTGTCCTGAACCGCTGCTGTTTGCAGAGAAATACCTCCACCCAGGGCCGGCTCCAGGCACCAGCCTGGCAAGCAGGTGCTTGGG